TAGTGTGCAACATAGAATCATAGAATACTAGAACAAGAAGGAACCTCGAGAGGTCATCACATATAGGCTATGTCTAGACTGCAGGGTTTTTTCGGAAAAAAAAGTGGCCTTTTCTTGAAAAAAAAGCTTCATCTGCGTCTAGACTGCCACTACGTTCTTTTGAAATTAAATTGAAAGAACGTGGTGGTTTTTTCAACAGCGGTAAATCTCATTTTATGAGAGAGAATGCCTTTTTTCAAAAGAGCTCTTTCAAAAAAGGCGTTCTTGACCACAAACGGCTTTCTCGAAAGAGAGCATCCAGATTGCCTGGGTGCTCTCTTTCGAAAAAGCAGATCGCTTTTTTGAAAAAAGTTGTGGCTTTCTAGACTACCTCTTTCAAAAGAAGCTTTTTTGAAAGATTCTTTCAAAAATCTTCTTTCGAAAGAAGCGTGTAGAGTAGACGTATCCTTAGTCCCCTGCATTCATGGCAAGCCAAATACCATCCTAGACCATCCCTGACAGGTGTTTGTCTAATCTGTTCTTAAAAATCTCCAATGATGGAGATTCCTTACCTCCCTGAACAATTTCTTCCAGTGCTTAACCACTGTGACAGGAAGATTTTTCTAATGTCCATCTAAATCTCCCTTGCTGCAATTTAAGCCCATTGCTGCTTGTCCTATCATCAGAGGTTAAGGAGAATAATTTTTCTCCTGCTTACTTATAACATCCTTTAAACACTTGAAAACTGTTAGCATGTCCCCCCTTTATTTTTTTTCCAGACTAAACAATCTTAGTTCTTTCAGTCTTCCCTCATGGGTCACATTTTGAAATATCTTTAATTATATTTGTTGCTCTTCTCTGGACTTTCCTTAATTTATCCACATGTTGCCTTAAACGTGGTGCTCAGAACTGGACACACTGCTCCAGTTGAGGCCTAATCAGTGCAGAGTAGAATGACTTCTCCTGTCTTGCATGTATCACTCCTGTTAATACAACCCAGAATCATGTTTTGGTTTTTTTGCAACACTGATTCATATTTAACTTATGGTCCACTAAGACACTTATATTACTATCTACAGTACTCCTTCCTAGGTAGTCATTTCCAATTTTGCATGTGTTGTACTGATTGCTCCTCCTTAACATCTAACAGCACAAAACTCTGTTGTATCATGGAACTTGTTTTTTGCTATAAACAGTTAATAAAGCAAATTGTTGGGAAGTGGCATATTGATGTAGTGGGTAGAAGCGGCTGGGCAGCTTCATTTGTAAAAATGCTTATGTTTCCATCTATCTATGGGCTGTCAAATAACAATTTCCACTCTGACCATTATAGAAAACTGTTTAGTCTCATAGAACACATGGTCAGGCACACTAGATCACAGGAAGGTGATTTAACAGATGAAGTGAGAATCTGAACTCTAGAGTTCCTTGCTTTTGTGTGCTTGCGTCACTACCTTTATGGTATTTTGTCATTTGTCATTTTAAAAATATTTTTATTATGAGCCATAATATTCAATTTACTTTAAGATGGCCAGATGCCTCTGCTTGACTTGATTCTTAAGTAAATGTGTCCTTTTTTTCTTGCTGCTTTCTCAAAGCCAAGGAATTTAATAGTTTTCATTAGCCTGGTTTTAGCAAACATTGGTTCATATCCGACTTTATAGTTCTATTATACACTCGGTTATAGAGTTTTAAATTGTATTATATGGCTTCCTTCAATACTAAGGATTTCAGTATGTACTCCCTTCCATGGTGGCACGCGCTTGTGTTGTTACACAGCAATCATACACAATTTTATATTTTATAAGCATTAGCTGTAAAATATGAGACAGTAAAAGTTTGTATTTTACAAGGCTATAAATGGTATATGTGTATTTTACTGGTTTTAAAAAAATGCATTGGCTCCGTTTTGAGATGGATTCTATTGGGTTCCAAAAAGATACAGCATATTGGTTCCATTAACACTCTGCATTGTCATGTCTTTGAGAGAGAACATTAAAAAATACAAAAAACGACGTTTGGGCTCTGTTAACTGCGACAGATGTTTCCTACATATGCCAAATCATCTTGTCTTTCAAATCATGGAACTCAATACACATGAAATGGCAGGAGAAATAGGCCAAAATTCTGCAAACACATACCCATGTGGTTAATTTATACGTGTGCACAGTTCCAGTGATTTCAATGGACTTAAACTCATTTTAGATCATCAGCATTAACATACACATGGGCTTTTTTAGCAGCTCTGTGAATAATTTGTGTGACCAAAAAAAGCGGAATGTTCTCAAAACCACACATAAGAAAATTTAAATCCAATCTGAGATTGTGTATGAAGTGGGGAGGAAGGAGGAAACAGAAAAATCTAAGATTGTGCTGGAGGCAGCATTGTCTGAATGAGACTCTCACTGAGAATCAGTGGGACATATTGTCCAAGCTCACAGTATGTTCTATCCAAATTGAGCACTTAAAACTGGTAAGAATGACTAGGTTCTGCTGGGACAATGTTATTTTTGAGAAGGCTGATTTTGAGGTGCTTTGATAACAAGCGCTTGATGGGACTAGCTTTTTGGCATACAAGGATGGTGTTGTTTGAGGCTAAGGACAACTATCCTGGGGAAATACTATAGTTAGGAAGCCTCAGCATTTTGGACCAGAATAGCAGTCTGAGAAATTGATATATAAATTTGGGGTGGTTTTGTTTAAAATGGAGACACATTTTATATATATATATATAT